GAGTGAGCTAACGCGCCAGCTCTTTTCCTTTTTTTTATTGAGAGAAATTCACATAACATGAAATTAACCATTAACCATTTTAAAGTGTACAATCCAGTGGCATTTAGTTCAATCTCAGTGTTGCACAACCACCTCCTCTATCTAGTTTCAGAACATTTTCATCACCCCAAAAGGAAACACCATTTCCCATCAGCAGTCACTCCCCATCCCCCCTCCCTGAGCCACTAATCCACTTTCTGTCCCTATGGATTTGTCTATTCTGGACGTTTCATATCAGTGGAGTCATAGCATATGTGGCCTTTTGGGTCTGGCGTCTGTCACTGAGTGTGATGTGTTCAAGGTTCAGCCCCGTGGTAGCGTGTGTCAGAGCCTCGTTCCTTTTCATGGCTGAGTACTATTCCACTGTACGGATATACATTTTATTCATTCATTAGCTGCTGGGTGTTTGAGTTGTTTTCACTGGCTGGGCCCATTTTACAAGGAAAAAAGGTCAAAGTTCAGAGAGACTACATGAACTCGAGGTCACATAGTGTCCCAGCTGGAGTTTTTCTTTTTTTCTTGGAGGCTGGCCAGTATGGGGCCCTAGAACCCTTGGCCTTGGTGTTGCAAGGCAGCACTCTAACCAACTGAGCCAACCAGCCAGCTCTTCTGAGCTGGGATTTTAACCTGTGTAGTCTGTTTAGAGCAGTCTGGACCACTGTGCCTGTACTCAGCTGTCCCCTTGCCAACACATCCCCTCCCAGGGCAAAATCGAGACTGGATGGAGCCACGCAGACCCAAGCTGCTTGGTCTCAGAGCCTCCGTGTCCTGGACAGTGGCCAGGTGGAGGCAGGGTGATCCCTGGTCATGAGGTCTCGGAGAAGCATGCATGAGTTGGACAGAGCCTGGGTGTCCACTCTGGATGTCCTGAGTCCGTGTGCTGGCTGGGGCTGTGCTTGTCCACCCAGGGACAGGAAGATGACCTGTGGGGAGGGCATTACTCAGCCTGGCTGGGGGAACCCATGGCCTGACTACTGATACTCTAACTTCATCCCAGCAACTCTGTCGACCCTCAGTCCCCATTGTCACCCCCATCATCCCCTTGGTCACTTTGGGCACCTTCCCCATCACCAGTGCGGCCCCCTTCACTCCTATTACCTTCATCAGTGTTGTCATCTCCAGGGGTCACACCTCTGTCTCAACCAAACTCTCTCCCTGATCTCTGGTCACACCTTTTCCCAGAATAGGTAAATCCGTAGAGACAGGAAGTAGAGTCATAGGAATTTCTATGTTGAAGTCGTAACCCCCTCAGAATGTGATGTATTTGGAGATATGACCTTTAAAGAGGTGATTAAGTTAAAGTGAGACCATTACGTTGGGCCCTAATCCGACTGTTGGCCTTATAAGGAGAGGACATTTGAGCACACAGAAGAAAGACCATTGCAGACACATCAAGAAGGTGGCTGTCTGCAAGTCCAGGAGAGAGCCCTCAGGAGAAACCAGCCCTGCTGACACCTTCACCCTGGACTTGCAGCCTGCAGAACTTTAGAAAATAAATTTGCATTTAAGACCCCTAGTCTTTTTGTTTTGTTATGGCAGTCTGAACAAACTCGAATATGGTGGGGTTTTTTTTGTCTGTTTTTGTTTTGTTTTTGTGGCTGGCCGGTACAGGCA